TATATATATATATATATACTAATACGAACTTGCCGATAATTATATTAGAGTACATCAGTCTGCAAATAACGTGATAGTCGAAAGTAAACGAAAAGTTTGCGGGAAAATGTAAGCCGATCGCATTCCAATATGATTTTTCCGATAAACCTATCTCATTTTAATATTCAACATCCGTAAACGCACCGGAACAAAGGCGAATAGCCGCTACAAATCGGTTAGTATTTGTATCGGATGCATCCCGCGAAGCGCACACTGTGTACAATAAAAATTTCAAGCGGATTGTTAAAACTGGTTTTTATCCCGCGCACTGTGCAAGCGAACCTGTTTGATTCTCTGTCTGAGAAATGTAACCGCCGAGGGTGAGAACCCGCCGTGGCTTTTAAAAAGAACACACGCCACAACAGGTTTCCGTCTCTTAATCCTCCTGCGCTCGTTTAACAGTCTCTCGCGTCAATGTGCAAATGAAAATTTTCATAGACACGTTAACGTCGCCTTCCTCGTACCGGCTAATGAAACGAAATTTTCATAAGTGCGCTAATTTCATTATACTAATTAGAATATTTTAAAATTTACGTAAACGCGCGACACGGGGGCCACGCCGTAGGACTCAATTACGAATAAAACCCGCGAGCACGAGCGAATTAAATGTCTCGGTGGGAAAACACGTGTTTAGAAGGGCGCTTTCCTAGCCATTTAACACACATGTAAGTTGTTTCTCCCACATGTCACTCTCAACATTGCGAGAGTCGAAGACGCATGCGGAGCGAAATACCGATTGATCAATCAGATGCTCCGATATCGTCTATTATCGGAAATCCTCGTCAGATGTTTGACATTGATGCCCGTCTGAGATTTATGTACGTCGCGAAATGTGTTTTGATTATACCATAGATAGACATCAATATAGTCATATTGTAAACTCGGTGCACTTTTCCAATGTTTTGCCATCTTAAATCAACATCAATAAAAAAGATTATTGCCGTAAATTGAACATATATCGATATGACAAACTGACATACTAATATCTTTTTAATTCGCGTTAACTTATTAAAATATAAAATATATAAACAGTATTATTTTTTAAATATTACTCTCTCTCTCTCTCTCTCTCTCTCTCTTTCTCTCTCTCTCTCTCTCTTTCAACTTTTTTTTATATATTATCTTTGTTATATAATTAACTATCGTTTACTAGATTAGGCTTACTATGAGAGCAAAATAAATATATTTGTTTCTGCTTTGCTTAAAGCTTATCTTTATTTTTCCTTGGATCGTGAACTTGAATGCATTATTATATCTTTTGAAAGCGAACGTATTTGTTCTTACACGTGTATCATGTTATCACATAAATATATGTTTAATGCAAATGATATTTTAAAACGCAATCAAAAAGTCAATGTATACATATTACTATATATGAATATTTAATGCTTATCGATGTTTTATAAGAATGATTAATAATGCAGATAACAAGATTGATATACAAATGATTGATTGTCCAAAATAAAGTTACAATTAAAGCGTGAATTGCATAAAAACTCCATTTACTTGATGGCTTAATTATATCATTAACCCGATATTAACTCGATAATTAATATAATAATATGTAGAGAATAATAAATTTACTTAAAATGTTAAACTCTTTCAAGGGATATATTGAAGTGTTTGTAGAGAATATATGTGTGAACTAACCGATCATATATTATATTTTAAATACATTTATTATTTAAATTTAAATGATTTATCGAATTGTTACGCTGTATTAATTTGCATTTTCGTATTTTTAGTGTTTTGCGTGCGATCCTTCTCTCTCTCTCTCTCTCTCTCTCTCTCTTTCTCTCTCTCACTCTTTGCTTGATAAAATATCCATTAATATTTCTGCATTACTTTGATTGATTCTTTTAATTCTTTTATTTTTTAAATCTTAACAGAGATCTTTGTCAAGTTAATAACATTTATTGATTAATCGTATCAAATAATCTATAAGGATTAAAACAAATTTATGGCACAAAACACATGCGTAAAAATGACAAATCTCAACATGATAGTAAAATCAGGCGGCGCGAATCGGATAATTGACATTGAAAAAATAAATAACATCTTATCAAGATCGATATTATTATTAGATAAATAACTTCTCTTTTCATTGATATTCTTAAAGATATGCTGATCTGGCGCTTACTTTACAAATAGATAGTTTCTTTTTTGACTACATGTACATTAAATTTATGTACGTAAAATTTGATGTAAATTATTTCAATAAGTAATATATGATTTCTGCGGATTTCTTATTAATAAAAAATGAACTTTTAAAAATTTATTTAAGTGTCGCTTTATCTCTTAATTATTAATTGTTTTTATTTCCTTGTCTGCTCTAATTACATTTACAATTTTTTTCAAGATGTATCTCTTTTTTTTGAAACATTCTCAGTTTTCCTTCTAGAGATTCAAAAATAAAAGTTATTTTTCTTTTAAGTACATTTACTAGTTGTTTTTTTTTTTTGATCGTTTATAAATTTATATCTTTTCTATAGAAATTGATCTCTTTTTTTTCTTGTTAATATTTTCTGATATAGATAGTATTTTAATTCTTAAATATATTTTATTATCTTTTCTGAAGGCTATATCTATAACTAATAGTATGATATTAATATCTAATAATCAAATATAATCGAGATTTATACATGACAATCTTTTCTTTCTATCATAAATTCAATGATCATTATTTATATCAATAATGACTTTCTCATTATTTTCAACGATTCATAATAATCCCTGGTTAAAAAAATAAGAAAAAACCATTTAAAAATTTGTAAAATTGTTAAATTGAATCGTGTGTGTTGCTCGAAATTATAATTTAAGTATCCGATAGCGAGTCTCCGTAATTGCATTTGTTTTTGTTAGAATTTACTGGAAACGTTTTTGCTAGAACGTTTTTCAAAGTCTATTAATTTAATCGTACTAGAGTTTGCTTGCGATAATAAATAAGTATTGTCTTTCAGAGATTTTCTTTCTCTCTCTCTCTCTCTCTCTCTCTCTCTCTCTCTCTCTCTCTCGCCAATTCTTTTTTATCAAAATCTTTTTTTTTCTAATTGAAATAGAATTCAGAATCATATATGGTTAAAGTTAGAACTCTGTTTTGCACTTGATACAGTCTTATATATTGTTCGATATCTAAAAAAGTAACTTGACTTAAAAAATTAAAGGAACAAGATAAACGAAATTTTAGAATTCAGAAAATATGCGTATAAATGTTATGTATGTAGTTGTGACACGAACTGGACATTTCAGATATTATCGGACAATAGCATAGTTGCGATACAGTTGCAAAAAGAAGAGATAGGCATTTATCTTATCGTTAAAATTGTATATTAAGATAACTGTAATATATTAAGATAGCTCAATGTAATCGCTTTATAAGCGGCCGTACGAGCAATGTTAATAGTAGAATAACGACAAATATGGAAACACGTGTTTTGATTGGTTTCTTGCTCATCTGCACCACGACTGGTAAAAATAATATTTGTCTATAATATTTCCCTAAGAAAAAAACGAATTTTTACGTTATTTTACGTTTACACATTAATTTTTTAAAATCTAAATATAAATTCGTTTTACGTGCAATATATTTTTATTTTATTTATAAGTGATATGCCTCTCTTTTTCTTATATTCTATTATTTCTTGGAGGCAAATAGTTTTTTTAAAGAAAACCGATAGTACAATTTTATGTAATAAAATATATTTTAGAAATTTGATATTTTCGAAATGTAAATATCTCGAGCGTAATGACACGTTTATATTAAAAATATTTTATCGTATTTTTCGCGAAAAATAGTGGAAAAATGAAATTTTTGCACTAAATATCTTTAAAATTCAATGACACGAAGAAGTTGTCTTTTTCATTTTATATAACATCATACATTAAGAATTTTATGTCTTGGTTGTATAGGGCTTCCAGTCAAAGAGAAATCTTATAATAATGATATCTTCACTCCAATGGATTACGCATTACTTGAAAACACGACAGCGTATATGTACGACGATAATGAGAATTTGGTGAAACTAACATTGGATGACGACATGGAGAATTTATACGAAACTCAGATGAATATCGCAAATCGTGTCTTTTTCTTCCTATACACGAAAAAAAATCCTACCATACCAAGAACACTTTATGTCAATGATAAGGATTCTCTAAAGTATAGCAACTTTGATCCTACCAAACCAACGCGTTTCATAACTCACGGATGGATGAATTCTCGGGGTAGTTTAGCGTGTTTTCTGATTCGCGACGGTATGTTTGCCACAATGAAGGATTATTAACAAAAAATACAGAATGCAATTTCTTTATGCAAATAAATATAAAATTTGTTTACATCAGAAGATAATATCAAAATTTTAAATTGTCAACGTTTGTTGCTTTTTGTGCTGTAGCTTATTTGAAGAATGAAGATTCTAATGTTATCGTCGTTGATTGGGGCAGCATAAGCCGTAGGCCTTATATTTGGGCTAGCAACCGTGTTATCATGGTCGGTCAATTCGTCTCCACTATGATTGATTTCCTCGAGAAGCAAGGGATAGATTTGTCGAAAACCATACTGATCGGTCACTCTCTTGGTGCCCATGTAGCTGGATTAGCAGCTCGCAATGCCCAGGGCGAAGTCGGCTTTGTTGTGGGTAAGTTTTTAATGAATTACATGAATCTGATAAGATATTCGATTAAAGATATTTTACAAAACAAGTAATATATATATTGTATTTCTTATATTTTAATTAGTTAAGTTATGCATGTAAGCATACAGAAAATCACTTTCTTGTCGAATATCATTAAATTTCATAGATTTTGACAGACTATTTAAGTACCATAATTTCATTTTTCTTTTTTTCTTATTTAAAAATATAATATTTTTCATGATATATATTTTTTTAATATAGATATGTCATAATGCTCGCGATATTTATATTCTTTCTTACATTAAGTAGAATTACGTTAATTATGTCGATAGTCAATTAACTATCAATATTTAATGACATAATGCGACTCTCTATGTCGTTTCAGGATTAGATCCAGCTTTCCCCGGTTTTAGCTCAGCGGGTCCAGGATCCAGGATATCGAGCGACGACGCGAAGTACGTGGAGATCATTCATACGAATGGCGGTTTCCTCGGCTTTTTGGCACCGATTGGCGATTCCGATTTTTATCCTAACGGAGGAGAAAAACAGGCTGGTTGTCTATTGGATCCCGGCGGCGCGTGCTCTCACGCTCGTTCGTTCAGATTCTTTGCTGAGTCCATCAGCAGCCCGTTAGGATTTTACGGAAGAAGTTGCAATGATTTCATTCGATTTAAAATGGGCCTATGCGACGACCAACATACATCCCTCATGGGCCATCGCAAGTCGCAATTGAATGCGCGCGGTAACTATTATCTATTGACTAATACAAAATCCCCATACGCGAAGGGTCCGCTCTTGGCATAATTGTTCGTTGAGAAAGAGACAGAGAAACAAAGATAGAGATATGAGGTGGAAAACTCAGTCTGATTACGGCCGTCAGAGCGAGAATTCTGGATTTGGAAATTCATTGCGGAACAGGAAGGAGATCCGCGCTGGGCTAAACTCGTTTCTCTCAGCAATCGATCGGATGCATTCACGGTGCGTAATTTCGTTTCCGTCCGCAGCGGCTGTTTCAAGCGCGAGTATTGCAAGCTCCCATCGTATCTCGCGCGCGCTATTCTTATAATCCCGTCTAAGCCGGGAAATCGATGGCCACTGGATCATCGCTATCATTTATTGAAAGAACAAAAAGCATTATCGCCGTGCCGCGCGACATTTTGCTTTACCATCGACCCAATTATCGGCGTAAGCGCGAGTAGGGAAAGACACGTATTTTGCGAAATACGTCTCATATGTACGCAAAAACGCATTGTAACATTTTATTGGAAATGCAAAATACTCGGAGGAAGGATACTCAGTGTTCTAAATGCAAGCCAAGTCGGCGTTAAATATACATATCAATTTCTCTTCCGTTGTCCGTTTTCTCGCATACAACTCGAACGCTTCGGTTACGTACACGCGTGCAAACATCCGCCAAGATACATGGCCTCTCGAAACGCGAATTGCTCAGACCAGCTGCGGACTTAGTCGCGGTGCATTAAATTTTATCGTAATATATCTCGTGTATATCGTGCATAGCAACAAAGATAATAAGGCGATACGGAAAACAGTCGGATTAAATCGCGCGTTGAATTTTAGGCTCCGGGCTGTTTCAAGTAAACAGATGCAGATATTTATCATTTTGATATAATGTACGGGATAAAGTTGAAAAAAAAAATATAAGCAAAGTAAGAGAGACTCGCTCGTAACGAGAGTCTTTTTCGTCAAATAATTTTAGCGTAGACGCAGATGCAATGTTGATCGCAGCAACTGCGATAATTACGGCTGACATCTAAAAAATGCATTAATTGTAATCGTTACTCTTCGAAAAGTGCGTTAAATATTCCGCATTCCAAATCCATAATCTTGATCGTCATAATCATTTATGTGATATCAATACAAAGAAATGTGATAAGATTTATACAACAGAGCACTAATGTACAAATAAAATTACCATATTTTTACAAAATATCAAATATGTGTCTCTTTTATTAATATACTAAAGTCCATTTTAAATGATCCATAATTCGCGAAAAAATTTGAGAATTTTAGAACTTTAGAAATTTAAAATTCGACATATAATTTTACATGTCATGTAATATACAGGAGACATTTGAAGAAGTAAAATATATGCATGTACAAAATATATTTCAAGCTACATATATCGAAAAATATGCAGCACATAAAATTATAATTTTTATTAAAAAATTTTTTTGTAGTAAATTATAGATCATTTAAAATAATTTCAAAACTAAAATTTATAATAATCGGTTGCTCTTAGCCATAATGTAATAATCATATTGTTTTATATAATGAAAATATCTTCTAATAACGTTAACTGAACATCTTTTACCAAACACCGTTTGTGAAGTAGGTAATCGAATTGTTTCGTAAGATTTGAAAAGGAAACACTGAGTTGCAATTTAAGTTATATAAACAATATTTGCATTGGATATTAGCATTAGAATCACATAAGATGCTTCGTCAATATATTACATAATAATATGTTTGATACAACTGTAAAACAGATGCATATATGCGTTCAAAAGATATTAGTAACTTTTAAAATGTTACGCAATTGATATAGAATACTCAGTTTAAAACAATTGATTTTCTCATCGCTAAATTATGATGTGATATCTATAAGCGATAAGGTGCCGAATGTTTCCATTGTAGATGTATCTATAGGCTGTGTGTATCAATTGTTCTCGCTCGCAATTGAAATATCTGCGATAAAAGTTGGCGTAGCCAGGCGAGTTTCATTAACTAGTGAACAATAGGTTTGCCGGATGCAAGCCAGCCACCTGAGATGAATAAGGGTCCCGAGCTGGGATAGACAGACCGAAAAAATCCTGATGCAGGACGTCCCAGATAGGAATAATTTTTCTTGATCAAAAAGGCATTTCTTCGTATTATTTATCAAGATAATCCTATTATATCAAACACATCAATTTTCATCCTTATCACTAGTACCACGCAATGTAATACATCATTTTCTGGCTCACGCATGTAAATGCTATCTTATCACATCGTGTATATTATTACATTTCTACTGACTTACGTCACATGCTGATTTTTGTTTGATACGCACGTGCATGATCAAATTATCGATCAAATTAATTGATAGATAGTATAAACTTTGCTATCAATTCCGAAATCTATGAGAGTATTACGCAATGTGTGCATGCAATCGTATTCATTTAATACAGTTAAATAATTGTTAATATCTCTTTTAAATTTTGTTTTATCTTACATTATCTTATCCCGTTTTAAATAGATTTGATACTATATATATATTTGACATTCCTTTTATTTTTCATAAGACGAAAAAAGTTATATATTACCTATTCATTCCTCGTTTTGTATTTTAACGTTCGAAAGTGCAAGCCTTTAAATGAGATTTACACAGTTCTAAAATTCAAATACAATTGGCACGTAGAGAAGCACGTTATTCAATTGTAGCGGTAATAATTCTTTCCTTGTTTGACACGCCCTGTCCGAGGTGTAGGTCAAGATTAAAACCCAAAATTGACGTCGAGGGAAAAATTAAAGTTGTAAAGTTTCTGGTATCTATCAACACGAGACGGGTCCATATATCAGCACACCTAGCGTTCGTTGCCTGTGTCTCAACCGTGGAAGTGTTGTCCTTTCTGTCGCGTTCAAATTGTAAGCTTGTCGGGGACCATTTTTTTCCCAGTACGGAACAATCCCCTTGGCGTTCATTTTTTGAAAGTATCGACACCGAACGAGAATTTATTTGCTCCTTTTATAGTTGATGTGTCGTTCAAGAAAACCATCGTGTGTGTATACATGCACATTTGCACAAAGCTGAGATACTTTGATTGAAATATTTAAAAACAAAGAGAAAACAATATATAAAATAATATTTATAATATTAATAATATATTTTTAATATATATTATTAATATATATTATTAATATTATAATATTTCTGATCCTTTTTTTATCAAAGAATTAAAAAAAAAGGATATATGTATGTTTCAATAATTAAATTGCAGCAACCGTATGAAAAAAAAAACTATACATTTTGTTTACGAGCCAAAAAATTACACAGTGATATTTATTATTTGTGATCGAGTAGCCTCGAATGACATATTACAGAATGTCAAGAAACCACGTATTAAGTAAAAGAAAGATACCTATTATTACACGAGTATTATCGCAAAGTCGATGATGATTATCATGGATAGTCTTATTACGGAATCTAAGAGCAATGCAAATCTAAGAGTACAGAGTGTACAATAACGTGATCGTCGTCATAATATTATTCTGTCTTTAGCCGGAAGCAATCTTCTTATATCGAAGCTTCCAATTAGAGAGGCGGAATAACACGGCGAGCGTATAACCAGCGGACCCGTTTCCGCTGGTCACCCTTCGAGGTAGATAGGTATATTTAATAATCGTCGCACTTCACTTTTTGTGCCTTTGCGGCGACTCGTATGGTGACCGGTTATGAATGTGAGAAACCGGGACGACGAAGGGTTTAAAAAAAAGGGTCACTTTTTTCGAGAAACAAGCGTTTTCACGTACGCGAGATATTTTTTATGTATTCGCGCGCGGTCTCTTAGAAAACGAATTATCCAGTCGGACCGTTCTTGTCGGATATCTTGAAAGCGATCCACGCATTCGATCTCTCATTGTCAATTAATTCACCCGGAATCGTTATTGTCGCGGTGCATTTTCGAGCGTCCGTGTATTATCATATGCGCACGCATACACTAGTCATCAGAGTGTGTATCGCGAGGTGCTCTTTAACAGCATATATGTGTACACAAACTACATAAAATAATTGCTAAATGAATCGCCCCGCTGTTTTTCCCGCCGTTTAAGCGAACTTATTAAGCGAATATTTTAATTAACGCGGCGATTAATCACGTAGATCACACATCCGGTCGTCACGTTTACGCAAATATATTATTTACGCATTTCCAAAGAGTATCCATCGTATGCCGAGGAAATGAACTGATAATATTACATTATACGCATAATTGCGCCAATTATGGGTGACTTTTGTTAACTAATTATACGAGGTTCTGGAAAATTCTGGAAATATTTTTCCGATAAAGCGTCGAACACATACGTAGACGCATATCGAATCAGATACGTAGATGAAATTTCATAATCGCGAGAAGGGAGGAGGCATACGAGAAAGAAATCGTAGGGCGAGTAATGGGAGAGCGGGCGACGAAAACGCATAATTTTAGATCGTAAATACGTAACCCGAGCTAGGGTGGTCATGCACTTACGTTTAATTGGTTCTTATGACGGTCATCTTAATTGACCGAGCGACTATTATCGGATAGGATTACCGTGTATTTATACGGTGCCTTATGGTCTTCGCCGCGTGACTCAACGTCGATTGTAGAAAGGACCTTCCGTTCTCAGAAGAACACCAGAATCTATTTAATTATTTGTAATAATATAACGCGTGTATATGAGTGCGATATATAAATTAAATATTTGATAAAAATTAACGTTTGTTACTGGCAAAGAAAAGCGTTTTTGAATCGATTTCGTATATTCTTTGATGCATGTTAGAGTATGTGATAAACGGTATAATTTTAAGTTTCTAAAAAATCGTTGTAAGAGCTCGCGAAATTATTCTTGCATTTTCAGAAAGCGATGAATAAAATCATACATGACGAACGCCTGAATCCGGTTACACGAGGTTTTCCAAAAGTGGTCAAGGTGGGGCTGGGTGGACAGGTCGTTAATAAAGCTTGAAGAAGGGCCATTAATCACGGGCTATCTCGGAGTCGAGCTTGCTCGTGTAAATACCCACGGAGATATTTACCCAAACGCGCGTAAGTTGTGCGTACGCGCGTCGTCATCTGTCTCCTTTCAACCCCCTCGTACGTCATCGC